GAACAATAGTGCGCCCCTGCGAGCGGTTACAATATAGATGGTTTAAATGTGAATTTCCGTTCTCAAATGCGGGAACGTCGGCCTTTTGTCTTTAGTGTCATTACTATTACCTGGCTCAAGGTGCGTTATCAAGCCGGCAAATAGAAGTCATGATCACAGGCCGCGCCTCTGTCATTTGTAACGCCGTTATTGTTTTCGGCGGCTGTTCTAAATGAGGAAGACACAATGAAAAAATCAAGATATTATCTTGGAGGGAAATGTACCCGTCACTTCTGTTATAGTGAGGAATGACGACAGCAGTTTGGAGCTTTCGAACGTTTATTCACCGCACACTCTCAATAATAATAATCTGAAATGTCTGAAATCATTGAACGTTTATTCACATATTCATCTTCATATTTGTCCACATTGTAGCTCTCCTCTGTGATGACTTATAAGAGAAACACTTGATCATATCAAATTCAATCCACGAATTTTTATAAAATTATACCGATAAATAATTAAGTCGCAAAATGTGAGGATCTTCCTTAATGCATATCATCAGTTTCATGTCATCATTGTTAAAAACCAAATACACTTTTTATATAACAATAATCAGCTGTTCAAATATTGATAACCAACAATCATAAGATTGATAAAGCAAACATATTTATATTTATAATACTTCACACATTTAATACTTAATACACAATATGCAGTATGTCATTAACATGTAATAACATTGTAAAGTAAGTAAAATACAGCATGCTGATAGTAAAGATCATGGTTAACACACAATAAAATGTTCATTATTATATATCATAGTACATAGTGATTAAAAATTATAATATTTGTCAAGACTTACAATTGTCATGTTAATTCCGTGCATCTCGCACACTCTCAATAATAATAATCTGAAATGTCTGAAATCATTGAAGTAACAATAAGAATGAATCATAAAGTCAGTAATATGTTGTGATCGTACACACACTTCTTACACCAAAAGTTCACTCGCAAAGATTAATGCGTTAAGTTTATTAAAGACACGTGTAGCAAGTCAAGTCAAATTCAGATTGGATTAAAATTAATCTGCATTATGATTATATGTTTCGAACTGAACATAGAAAAGTGCATTAGCATGTTTAATACGCAAAAATGCATAATATTCACTCTTGAATAATTTTCAGGGTTTAAAAGCTGTGAAAAGTGACAATGGGATAACTCGTTCCAAAATAACGTTTTTGTTTATCATAATGTTTATAATTGTCAAGCCATGTCAATGTTTTGACAGATGTAGTCTGTAGATACAAAAACTTAAATGAACTTGTCGAAATTATTATAGTTATTACTTCATTTTGTAATAAGAATGAATCTGTGGTCATAAGTTCCTTCATGTCCATGTTCCATTTAGGACCATTTAACGATTACATGGCTCGTTCATGGAGATTGTTCGCAATGCAAATGGGACAAGATGGCAATTTTCATATCTTCATATTTGTAGCGGACTCCGTTCGTGTAAGATCATCAGCGGGATATCGTTTGCGATTCGAGAGAGACGAAAAGGCAATCTTCATATCTTCAGCGGGAGATCGTTCGCGACGTAGGCGAGAATAAAATGCACTTTTCATATAACTTCAAGGGAACTTCATTCGTGGAAGATCGTCAGCAGGTCATTATTTTAACCCCCCTCCCCCTTTGAATTTTATAAATAATATATATTTTTCATTTTATCTTTAACCCCCCCTTCCCCCGCTCACGGATCATTACTTAACCCCCCTCCCACACACACACACACACACTTTGGATTTTTTAAAAAAATATTCATTTTCATTTTATCTTAAATCAGTCCCCCTCCCACGCTTTGGGTATATCTTCAGCGAAGAATCGTTCGAGTAATATCCTAAGGACTTTGTTCGCGTAAGATCATATCAGAGGGAGATCGTTCGCGATCCTAGCTAGACGTTAAGGCATATCTTCATCGGGAGATTGATCGCGATGTAAGCAATAATAAAATGCAGTTTTCATATTAGTTCAAGGAACTTAGTTTGCGAACGATCGTCAGCGGGAGATCATTATTTTAACCCCCTGCTCCCCCTTTGAATATTATAAATAATATATATATATATATATTTTAATTTTATCTTTAAATAGTACTAAAAACAGTCGCTGCTTTCGCTTACAACGTTGTAAAACACTCGTCAGAATGAACTCTTTCTTCGTCAGAACAGTTTCCGATTGGAATGGTCTCAGTGACCAACAAGTAAACGTTGAAACTGTTGAAAGTTTTAGATCAGGACTACTACTAAGAGCGCATTCTCAACGAATTAAGCCAGGCTTTACAAAGCCGGTGACCTAAAAATGGCGGACGTACATGAAAGAAAAACCACCTAATCTTTTAATAGTCTCTCCGCCTCTCCACACGTCGTCCCTGCGGGGTACAGTAATTAAATCTCGGCTCCGAACATTAATATTTCCGTGAATATCTCTGGTGATATTATCTCCGTAGATAGTCGATTCATTGCTGCTCTACGGGCCAAATTATTCCTTTTTCGTCTCTGTTTTCAAAGATAATAGAACAGAAGAGCTTTTTTCCTTCGATCGCCTTCAGCCGCCATGCTTTCTTCACCATGAGTTTAACTGATGAGCATGCGCACTTAATATTTCTCAGGTAGCTTCCGCATGGCGAACGGAGACGCGATTTAATTACTGTACCCCGCAGGGACGACGTGTGGGGAGGCGGAGAGACTATTAAAAGATTAGGCGGTTTTTCTTTCATGTACGTCCGCCATTTTTAGGTCACCGGCTTTGTAAAGCCTGGCTTAATTCGTTGAGAATGCGCTCTAAGTTTCCCATGCGCTCTCTCCTACCCGTCTACTTCATACCAGTATTGGTGTCTCTAGACGTACATGGACAGATACAGATACAGAACCCCCCCTTCCCCGATCACGGCATATCTTCGGCGGAGAATCGTTTAGGTACTATCGTCAGAGGGAGATCGTTCGCGATCCGAGCGAGACGAAAAGGAATTTTCATATTATCATCATCAGGAGATCGTTAGCTATGTAAGCAAGAATGAAATGCAATTTTCATATTAGTTCAAGGGATTAAGGGAACTTCGTTCGCGGAAGATCGTCAGCGGGAGATCATTATTTCGCCCCCCCCCCCTTGCAATTAGGTTTATCTTGATCCTTCTCCTCTATCAGGAGGTATGTTTCTTACCGAGAAGATAATTATCAGCATATTTTCGGGTACAGTAAGTTAAATATAACTTAATCGAGATGCACTTATAAATTGGTTATTATTTACCACCAGAAAATGACTTAGGAAGTAGTAATAAATATCCCACAATATAGGAGGGTCAAAGGTAACAGTCGCTAAGGATAAAAGCCCAAAGGCCGGAGTTTTGAAAATTTCGTCATACCCAGGAGTCGGGGGAGAGGTAATTTTGAAAAATTAGTCGGATTTACACAATTAAAAATATTAATTAATTTTTAAGCGACGAAATTTCAAGACTTCACCATAAGGGTCATTTCTTAACTACTCATAACATGACAGTTTTTACTTCTGCATGTTCTTAGCAGAAATCGAAATAGATCCTAAAGTATCAGTTAATGAGTGGAGAAAATGGCTTATTTTAGGAATATTGGATATGGGTATATCCCATACATTAAACCATGCAAGCTGTTTCATTTTTGTGGAAATACATCATGGAAAAAGCGTTCGAGAAATTAAATTGGTTTCATGCATTCGCACTGGACAAAAAGGGTTGAGTCTGACATTTTTTGTCTTTTGCTCTTTTTTTATGACACATCTCGTGTCTGTGCATAGAGACATTATTTGTGTCTTTTAACACCTTAGTTGATGTCAATGCTGTGGCTTTCAGAGATTACACTGCAATTGGAAAACCATGTAACATTTTTGTGGACTTTTCCCTTTTTACATTTTGACATTCTCAAGGTGTGAATTTGAAGTGCAATCAGCATGAATATGTATACTAACTACATTTTCTGAATGTCCACATGAAGAGATAAATTTAGTATATTATTAAAATTATTGGTTTTATTTAATCACCACTAATTGCCTAAAGGTTTATAATTCCAATCTACTATTTTTTATTTCTCCTGTACTTTTTTTCTTACAGCGTCTGTTTAAAACATTCAGAGAAACTTCTTACTTGGGCGAGTCCAGCCAGTCCCTTGTTAAGACCACACAGAAGAAAAGGAAATACAGCGATGACGACAATGTTGATGATGATGATGATGATGACAGCAGTTACCACCATGGTAACCCTTCAACATCAAAACAAACCAAGTTGACACCCAGCAATACCTCTCCTGCTAAAAGAAAAGATGTTACATCAACTAAAAAATGGAAGACTTCCGATAATGAAGATGTATGCTCCTTTGAGTTACTTGTATTCGTACGGAATTCTCTTAAGAAGATTAAAGATTTCTTTAAAACATTATTTCACAATATGATGATATCGTATTTTACAAATGAAATCAGTGGGTTCCATATATATTGAGAACCTATAATATGTGCACTTCTATCACCAACAATATTCAAGGAAAGCTGTGTTACCTAATTTTCTCTTACTAATAAATAGTATTGCACCGAACTATGCACATCAATATTTTCTGCTTTTTGTCTGTACGTTTGACAACGTTGCAGTTTTGTTTGCCATTTTTTCTGTTTTGTCTTCTTTCTTTTTATATTTTTTTCTTTTCAGTTTTTTATTATTCCTTATTATAAATATATCATTATTTCAGGACCTAAGACAGGGGCCAGTCTCTGGCCAGCAACGGGAGCAGCAAGATGACGACAACTACCAAACAAGTGACAATTTAGTTCACAAATCCCCACCGTTGCCAGTCACTGACCTCTGCCTGGAGGAACAAGCTGGCGTCCACTTTGAAACAAAGAGGAAATCAGGCCACTTCCCACCTTCACCCCCACAACAGAACCCTGTGGCTACTGAGGATCAAGACCAGGGTGTAACTGATCCTCAGACCATCAAAACAATGGGAACCCAAGCTATTAACCAGGCCCATGGGGATAATCAGTTAGAAAGATTGCCTACGGCAGTGACACAAGAGATTGCTGGGGTTCTAAGACAGATCCCTGCTAACACAGGCGACACAAATGTTACCTTCAATTTGCAGCTGGTTTACCACAATAATAACTCAGAAAAGGCATCAATGACACACATGAAAGAGAACAATGTGACAACATCTTTTCATAAACATGTCCCTCCAAGTGTGAAAAAACGACTGAATGAGACACTTTCTCAAAATGATGTATGGGACCAAGTGAAGAAGATGTATGACATTTCAGATGAAACCCCATGTCCTCCTGATGTTGTATCTTTTTTGTTGTCAGAAGTTGAGGGTTCTATTGCATCTTTCATCAGTGTGTTGTTAAAGTTAAAAGAACGCCACAGAGAAGGACAGCAAGACATACCACAAGATTTGATTAATGAAGTCAAGGTAACTGATAATATGGTCTAAAATATAGTCAAATAAAGTAACCAGTCTTTAAAGTTTTAAAATGACATTGACAATTCATCTTTTTTCCACATTTAAAACATTTTCTTTCTCTTTAAGTCCTAATTCAATTCAACAAAGTTTTTCATTTCTTCATATTCCAAGTGAAAGAGTAAGAATTAGAATTAAATGTATAAGACAATGGGTTGGCTGTTTGGGGTTACCAGTATTGCTAAGTGTATTGAAAGTCATTTACATAACATCATGGTTTGAAGGAGTATAAGTTGTAAATGTGGCTTATTATATTTCTCTTCTAGGAAGGACTTCTGAGTGAAATGGAGTACAACAAACTGAGGGAGAAAGTGATTGAATTTGCTGCGGAACTTTCCATTTATATTGAAAGAATTTTAGATTACCTGTATCAGTTTAGTGTAATACCAGATGAGGAGACAACAAAACTTAAAAATGATGCAAAGAGAAATCCGCAAGATGCATGTAGAGATTTGTTGAAAGCACTTCTTGCAATCAGTCCTAAAAAAGAACCAATTAAACATCTGAAAGCTGCATTCAGGGATTCTGGTCTTTGGCATCTGGCAGATGAACTAGAAGTCAGCTACCAGGATGTAGAGGATGAATTACAGAAACATGGAGGTGGCCGGCCTACTTGTGAAGAGCCGTTAGCAATAGGAATGGCAGCTCCCCCCACACCTGCTACAGGTGAAACCCCTACTGGAGAACATTAAAACTACATGTGTACAGTATTTGACAGTATGTGTCAAGATTGTTTATGCTATTTGGGTCACCGTGGACTAAGACATATGGTATTCCCACATATATTGACATCAGACAAATAAAGTGGTTGTCTGTATTTAATGATTTTGAACAAGCCTGCTGAAAAACTACAGTGATGCAGACATTTATATATACTGTTCAGCATCAAATGTGACCCCTAACTTTTAACAGGAAGATGACAGAAATTTTAAGCAAAACCCAGTGGACTATGAAACCATCAATCCTGTTAGGAGACTTCTTTGTTGATTTGTCTTAGATCTCCTAAAACCTATGTTTGTGTTCTTATTTTACAATACCAAAAACAACCTTAAGGTTGTCCCTCCAACCTTAAGGTGCGTCAGAGGACACTCTGTCCTCCTTTTTATGTACAGACACAGATGTGTCTGTACATATAGCCATCATCTGCGTCTGTCGTCGCCGTCGGCGCCGTCGGCGCCGTCGTGCACTTTTACCGATAACACGATAAGTGGAACACCGTTTTTGCTTTTGGCTTGAAACTTACAGAACTGGTGAATATTCCTAATACGCAGGTCAAGTTTGAAAATCAGCATGATCGGGCCATTTTTAGGGAAGTTATGCTGTTTTTTCACTTTTTTCAGCATATATACAGCACCGATAACACGATAAGTGGAAAACCATTTTACTTTTTGGCTTGAATTTACAAAACTGATGAATATTCATAATCCGCAGGTCAAGTTCGAAAATCAGCATGATCGGGTCATTTTTAGGGAAGTTACGCTGTTTTTTCACTTTTCTCAGCATATATGCAACAC